CCCCCCCCATCCATGATTTTTTCACTTCGTAACGGTCCTTCCTGCAGACACATCGGCGTGTCGTTTTGCGTTCTGTATTGTGGCATAGGTTCGTCAGAAATATGTATATTTCCCTTCAGCTGCTGAACTAGTAATACGGGATTTCGCGAAAGTGCATCAGCATTTTGGTTGCATGCTCCCTTTTTATATTTAATTGTATAATCGTATTCTTCTAATGCGATCCGCCATCGCATCAAACGCGAAGATAGATCCTTATTCTTATATAGCCATTCCAAAGGTTTATGATCAGTGATTATATTAAATTTTCTTCCATATAAATAGGGCCGGTAATGTTTAACAGCCCAAACTATCGCGAGGAGCTCCTTTTCTGTGGTAGAATAGTTTCGTTCAGCAGAGTTTAATGTTCGACTGGCATATGATACGGGCTAATCTTCTTGTGACAGAATCGCGCCTATTGCTTAATTTGAGGCATCCGTTGTTAGAGTAAATTCGCCCTCGAAATTTGGGAACTGAAGGAGAATGGGTTCATTGCAAAGTGCTTCTTTCAATTTTTGAAAAGATTCGCGTTGCCTAGGGCCAAAATCAAATGGTGTGTTTTTAATCAAAAGTAAGTTAAGCGGCCGTGCTATTTTGGAGAATCCCCTGACAAATTTGCGGTAGTATCCTGCCAACCCCAGGAATTGTTTTATTTGTTTCGGCGTTTTTGGTTCCGGGAAATCTTGAACGGCTTTTATCTTCTCTGGATTAGGCTTCACTCCTTTCTCAGTGATGATATGTCCTAAATACTGTAACTCTGGTTTCAAATACTCACATTTATCGGGTTCCAATTTTAAATTGAATCGTCGAAGTCTGTCGAGCACCTCTATGAGATTCTGATTATGTTCCTCCAATGTTTGACCGAAAACTATAATGTCGTCCATAAGAACAAAACATATTCGGCCTATCAAACCCCGAAATGCTCTATTCATCACCCGTTGAAAAGTAGCGGGCGCATTTTTAAGTCCAAAAGGCATGCGCAAGAATTCGTAGTGACCCCTGTCGGTTGAAAATGCTGTTTTTTCTCTCGATGACTCTTCCAAAGGAACCTGGTGAAATCCAGAAGCTAAATCAAATGCTGAAAAATACCTTGGCTTTCCCAGTTGATCAAGGATTTCTTCGATATTCGGAAGTGGGTATG